CTAATTTTTGTATTTTTAGTAGAGATGAGGTTTCTCCATGTTGGCCAGGCTGACCTCAAGTGACCCACCAGCCTCGGCCTCCGAAGTGCTGGGCTTACAGGCGGGAACCGCGTTGCCCGGCCCTGAAAGGGACTTTTTTTTTTTTTTTTTTTGAGACGTAGTCTTGCTTTGATGCCAGACTGGAATGCAGTGGCGCGATCTCTGGGCTCACTGCAACCTCCACATCCCGGGTTGAAGCAATTCCCCTGGCTCAGTCTCCCGAGTAGCTGGGACTACAGGTGCATGCCACCTCACCCGGCTATATTTTTGTATTTTTAGTAGAGATGGGGTTTCACCATGTTAGCCAGGATAGTCTCGATCTCCTGACCTTGTGATCCACCGGCCTCAGCCTCCCAAAGTGCTGGGATTACAGGTGTGAACCACTGCACCTGGAACCCTGAAAGGGATCTTAATAGTTAAAAAAAAAAAGGATTGCAGTTACTGAGAGCTCAGAAATTCCGGGATTTAAGGGTTCTAAGTGTTTTAGGCTTTGAACCCATTTAAACATCCAGCTCTCTTATGGAGTAGTTGCCCCTATCTCTAAGTATGTTTACAGATGAAGAGACTGAGGTTGGGTAACTTACACAGTAGAGGGAGAGCTAGGAGTCAAATTCAGGCAGCCTGATTCTTAACATGGACGCCATTTCTGGGAGATTCCCTGTCTAATGCTGGAGGGAAGACAGAACCCAGGAAGTTCTGGAAGAGACTTGGCAAGCTGTGGGTCTTTAAAAGGACAGAGTGGTAGAGTCTGTCTGAACCAGGAGCAGAGAGCCGAGTTCACAGTCACCATGCTCTCTCTGTAGCTGCCATGGGATATGATCTAAGGTTAAAAACATAAAGTATGGGCCGGGCACGGTGGCTCACACCTGTAATCGCAGCACTTTGGGAGGCTGAAGCTGGCAGATCACCTGAGGTCAGAAGTTTGGGACCAGCCTGACCAACATGGTGAAACCTCATCTCTACTAAAAGTACAAAAATTAGCTGAGTGTGATGGCACACTCCTGTAATCCCAGCTACTCTAGAAAGAAAGGAACAAAGGAAGGGCCGGGCACGGTGGCTCACGCTTGTAATGCCAGCACTTTGGGAGGCCGAGGCAGACCAGGCTGGTCTCAAAATCCTGACCTCAGGTGATCCGCCCACCTAGGCCTCTCAAAGTGCTGAGATTACAGGCATGAGCCACTGTGCCCAGCTCTCTCTTTTCCTTTTCCTTTCTTTCCTTCCGTTTCCCCTCTCTCCCTCCCCCTCCTTCCTTTCTTTTCCCCTCCCTCCCTCTCTCCTTCCTCTCACTCTGCCACCCAGGCTGGAGTGCAGTGGTGCAATCTCGGCTCACTGCAAGCTCCGCCTCCTGGGTTCACGCCATTCTTCTGCCTCAGCCTCCCTAGTAGCTGGGACTACAGGCGCCCGCCACCACACCTGGCCAATTGTTTTGTATTTTTTTTAATAGCGATGGAGTTTCACCGTGTTAGCCAGTATGGTCTCGATCTCCTGACATTGTGATCCGCTCGCCTCGGCCTCCCAAATGCTGGGATTACAGACGTGAGCCACTATGCCCGGCCAATATTTGATTTTCTGTACCTGAATGAGTTTGCTGAGGATAACGGCTTCTAGCTCCATCCATGTCCCTGCAAAGGATGTGATCTCATTCCTTTTTATGATTGCAGCCTTTTAAAATTTTTTATTTTATTTAATTTTTATTTATTTATTTATTTATTTTTGAGACAGTATCACTGTCACCCAGGCTGCAGTGTACCGGCATAATCTTAGCTCACTGCAACCTTTGCCTCTGGGTTCAAGTGATTCTCATGCCTCACCCTTTGGAGTAGCTGGGATTACAGGCACATGCCCAGCTAATTTTTGTAGTTTTAGTAGAGATGGTGGCAGTGGGAGTGGGGTGCTGGGGGATTTGCCATGTTGTCCAGGCTGGTCTCAAACTCCTGGCCCCAAGTGATCCCCCCACTTCCTTCTCCCAGAGTTCCGGGGTTACTGGCGTGAGCCACCGTGCCTGGCCCAATATTTATTACTGATGGAGTGGAGTGGTGTAATTATGGCTCACTGCAGCCTCTACCTCCGAGACTCAAGCAGTCCACCCATCTCAGCCTCCCAACTAACTAGGACCACAGATGCATGCCACTGCACCCTGCTAATTTTTAAATGTTTTGTTAACAGAGGTCTCTGTTGCCCAGGCTGATCTTGAGCTCCTGGGCTCAAGTGATCCTCCTGCCTCAGCTTCACGAGTGTGAGCCACTGTGCCTGGCCTTACCTGCCTTTTAATGTGTGAATAGCAAGTTAAGATTTTAGAATCTGGCCAGGTGCGGTGGCTCATGCCTGTAATCCCAGCACTTTGGGAGGCCGAGGCTGGTGGATCACCTGAGGTCAGGAGTTCGAGACCAGCCTGATCAACATGGAGAAACCCCATCTCTACTAAAAATACAAAATTAGCCGAGCATGGTGGCACATGCGTGTAATCCCAGCTACTCGCAGGAGAATTACTTGAACCTGGGAGGCGGAAGTTGCAGTGAGCCAAGATAGCGCCGTTGCACTCCAGCCTGGGCAACAAGAGTGAAACTCTGTCTCAAAAAAAAAGAAAAAAGAAAAAAAAAGATTTTAGAATATTTCAGTCATTAGTGACAGGATGTATAATGTTTGTTCTTTCTGTTTTCTTTCCATGCTAGGGTTTTACTTTCAGTGGCATCTGCCGTGTGACCTGCCTCTATGGCCAGGTGCAGGTATTTGGTTTTACCATCAGCCAAGGCCAGCCTGCCCGAGACATCTTCTCTGTGTATACCCACTCTTGCTTGAGTATCCATGCACTTCATTACTCGTTGCCTGAGAAAAGCAAGAAAGAACTCAAAAGGGAAGCCCGGAATTTGCTCAAATCTCATCTTAACCTTGGTAATGAAAAGAACTGGGTAATTTACTGAGGGCCTACTGTGCTAATGCTAATTAATAATTTTTAGGGCTGAGCACAGTGGCTCACGCCTGTAATCCCAGCACTTTGGGAGGCTGACGTGGGCGGATCACGAGGTCAGATCGAGACCATCCTGGCTAACACAGTGAAACCCTGTCTCTACTAAAAATACAAAAAAAAATTAGCCAAGCGTGGTGGCGGGCGCCTGTAGCCCCAGCTACTCGGGAGGCTGAGGCAGGAGAATGGCGTGAACCTGGGAGGCGGAGCTTGCAGTGAGTGGAGATCGCGCCACTGCACTCCAGCCTGGGCGACAGACTAAGACTCCTTTTCAAAATAAATAAATAAATAAAAATAAAAATGCAAAAAATTAGCCGGGCATGGTGGTGGGAGGCTGAGACAGGAGAATGGTGTGAACCTGGGAGGCGGAGCTTGTAGTAAGCCAAGATCGGGCCACTGCCCTGCAGCCTGGGTGACAGAGCGAGACTCTTTGTCTCAAAAAAATTTTTTTAGATGCTTACTATGGTCTAGACAGTGTGCCAAGGACTTTGCTATATGTATATAAACCCTTACAAGGGTCCTGAAAGTGAAAGTACTATTGTTATCACCATTTTACTGACAAGAAAAATTGTTCAAGGCCACAAAATTATTATGTGGCAAACCTGGATTGACTTCTCCCCCCAGGTGTGTTCTTAGTATGCAGTATGGCCCCCTGAAAAAGGCTCTCAACCACAATTCCTACTCCTAAAGTTTATAGTTTAGCCGAGGAGATGGCAGTCCTAAAGGGTGTGGAACGTAATTAAGTTAGTGCTTCTAAGGTGGTTTCTTTTTCTCTTTACAGATGACAGGCGTTGGTCGATGCAGAATTTTTCTCTTCAGTGTTCCATTGTGTTGCTAGAACATCTGAAAACTGCGTCTGTAAACTTCATAACCAGCTATCCAGGTTCATCCTACATTTTTGTGCAAGAGGTAGAACCCGTTTTTATTCAGAGATTTGCTAATTACTTGCACCAAAACAGTGATATTAAATGACTATGTAGGATGTTGTCTTGGAAGAGCAGTTTGTCCACATAGTGCTCTCGGTTCTACCGAATGTAATACGTGTATACAGAAAATAGTATAGAAAGGTATATTGTGAAAAATGTTCATCCTCCCCTCCTCAGTTTCATTCCTCAGCCAGCATTTTATATCGTAGTTGGTTATGTGCTTTTTGGGTTTTTATTAACACCATGCTCCAGCCCTGCTTTTTTGGTTTTGTTTGTTTGTTTGTTTGTTTGTTTGTTTTTGAGACTGAGTCTCTGTCACTCAGGCTGGATTGTAGTGGTGTAACCTCAACCTCACTGCAACCCCCGCTTCCCAGGGTCAAGCGATTCTCCTACCTCAGCCTCTTAAGTAGCTGGGATTACAGGCGCCTGCCACCATGCCCGGCTAATTTTTTTTTCTTGTTTTTTGTTTTTTGTTTTGAGATGGAGTCGTCTCACTCTGTCACCAGGCCGGAGTACAGTGGTGCAATGTCGGCTCACTGCAACCTCCGCCTCCTGG